GACTCCCTGCTACGATACTTTGTAAATGCGCTCCACTCTTCCAGCGCCGATGACCTTCGCACTTCGAGCTCCCTGAAAAACGAATATCGTCATCATCCCTAAAGGAGCAGGTCTTGTAGCAATGCAGATTGCCGAGCTCACCTCCGCATTGCAGGGTGAGATCAGGGCACAAGTGCTCCAGCACGCCCGGTAGACAGAGCTCTGTCTGGAGTGAGGTCACAGAACGCCCGGTGTGGTTGGCGCGGCAGCCAGACATGACCGATGGGTAGGATTACCACTGAAAATCCACATCCATCTGGAATTTATCTACTTCATTGAGCTAGATTGGACATTTGAACAAGGCATGGAGGCAATGACTCAAAAGGTAGGAAAATCGAATTCTGGAGTTGGCTTTCTAATTTCATAGAAATCCCAAAACGCATATGAATGATAGGTACTTTATCATCCATAATTATAAGGACAATGAACTTAAAGAAGATTTCTGCTCAGCCCCGTCTTTCAGTTCCTTCTGTCGATTTGTCTAATATTGTCGGGCGACGTTACCTGGCCGAGAGATTTTAATGTTATTGATGGCATCGGCTAGACAGATTTACGAGCCTAATATTTCTAATGATTTTTTCCCGCGACAGTAAATTGAAACCCAGCCGAAACGTGGACCGATTTTACATCACTTGGTGGCATTAACCTGATGGAGCTCCGACGCAGGACGTTATATTACGCTGTAAGCCGCAAGCGGCGCATGATAGGTTATCTTATGTAGACGGGATGCGGCATAAAGCTTATACATCCCGAGATCAAATAGTGAAGACACAGTGTGTAGGCCTCACATCTGTCTGAATTGTTGGTCTTTTCGTCCTGTGGAAGGAACACACATCATAGCTCATATCTCCCTTAATTTAATTAAAAAGAAGCACACAAAACACGCCGATGACCAACATTTGTTAAAGACTGTATAATTAGAATTTGTTAAGGCGCAGGCGGGCCATTTACATCCGTCAATAAATTGTTACTGCAATTTACACCCAATACAATTTGTACTCACCGGTTTTCTCTTGTCATGCGTGTGAACCCAAGACCTAATAATTTTCATGAACATACCTCAACTCGCCCTACGTTTCAGAAAATTTCGCTGAGCATGTACAGACTGAGCCCTTCATCTCACGACGCAATACAATAAGACGGTGGTTCTATTCATGATACAGTTTATCTCTCGCGTGACAGTTCGTCCATTGTGCATAAAGGAAAATATGGTATGAACATTTCGTCTCGACTGGGATCTCGGTCATTTTGAGGCACGGCGCCGCGTTGATGCCATCTGAGGGCCCTGACAGATGTGGGGACGACACGCGCCGACATATCCCGACTAGCAGGGAGTCCAGCGCCACCTTAGCTCACGGATTGAGGAGGCCGTAATTATACGGATTGGGCTGGTCGTGAAGGCCAGCGCCCGGGCGTAATATACAGATTGTACGGATTGTAACCGATGGTCGACGGATTATTGTGCCCGTCATGAGAGTCTCCGTACGTTGCACAGCCAGGGACGTAACACACGGATGAGGTAAGATACGGATTGTGTCCGCCGTGAGAGTCGGCGTTGGGCAGAGCCCGGAGCGTGAGAGAGCGTCACCTGAGACGGCCGTCACATTAATTTGCCGCTTTATCACGGTTTGTGTGCGGCCGCCGGGCCAGCGCCATAGCCGCGGGGCATTTTTCAATCAGGCCGGCGGGCATTGTGCGGCGCCTCCGGCCGACTGCCGACTGACACGAACACCGGCGGCGAGCTGACACAAATCTGACGCACCGCCGCGCCACCCGCCGCGGCGCCGTGCCGGTTCACCCTGCTTCTCACAGCCGCTGACACTGGCCGCGTCCGCAGCCAAATCACGGCTTCAATCACAGGCCGCAGAGCTACGAACGGTATAGCTGAGTGAAATGGAAATTGATGTTCGTGGTGGCTGGAAAATGAGAAAAACACTGACAACCCTCAGTCTATAGGTGTAACAACTTTTTGCCTCGTTTCATGTACTTGAGAGTGGCTGGTCACGAGCAACCAAAAATTAGGTGGATCGATTGGGATTTTGGTGATCCTCTGCCAAGCATAAGTGTGTCTCCCTCTCCCGAAGGAACCGCCGCCAACCGATTTTGAACTCAAGGGTTAACCCATGTCAACACAGGCCTATCCCCATGGGACTACTCGAGTTAGATGCACCTCCTCGAAATGTAGAGCTCGCAGCTCCGCAACTCACGAAGGTCAGCGAGGTCAAAACGCCCGACATCTACGAAGATCCGAAGCTAGTCTGTGCAGCGGTACTTGACCTTTACCCTAGATATTCTGGGAGATATAAACATACTAGCTACCGTCTCTTGACTTCTATGTACGAGTACTTGTACATATGTATACTGCCAATGGGGGGCGGGCCGACAGCCCTGTTCTGCCGGGTGACGAGGGACACCCGTCCCTCTGACCTGGCCGCCGGGCCGGCCGGCCGGCCGGCGCCACTGGCCATTAACAACAGCAGAGCTGGGCGTGTCCCCGCCAGTACATATTTGATGACCTCCCAGGGGACAGCGCCGGCACGCAACGCTGCTCTCCCAATTAATTAGTGGCCGCCAGAAATGTTTTGATTGAATGAACTTGAATGATATACATAGTGGGACACACACTGTGGAAACTCAAGCAAGGTCTTGAGAAGGTAGACAAGAGCGTGCAGTTAAGCGCACTCGCTTTAATTTGAGAAACAGTAAACGTTAACTTCGTATAAAGCAGATAAGGTCACATGCAAAATGCATGACATTTTCCTTGATGTATTGCTGCATCCCACGCCCATACACATACAGTAGGCTCAATTCGAATTCAAATCCATCGGCGTTGGAGCCGGGGCTGGGGAGGTCATGGACTTTCCAATTTGGGGCAGTAATCTTTTTCCGATTTCAGAGGGCAGTCGTTAGACATTCGTGGACATCCAATATAGAATGCGTCCTCATCAGTTTTGTGTAGGTACTTTATTCTTTTTAAGCTTATTTTCGCATGACCACCAGCGAAGTGGCGGGCTCCTGCTCCAGTGCTCTTCCAATAGGTCTAGTGCTGTTAATTCATGTACGATAGATTACTTGGGAGCTGACATACCAGATATGAGTGCATCTCATTGCGTGTTAGGACGCTTCACTCAACATTTTTGTATAATTTAGGCAGCAGGCTCACCAAATCATGAACGTCACCAAGAGGAACATCTTCAGCGGCGTCAGTCCATCAAAACTCAAGCTATCGCTTTTATTCTAGATCATCAGTTGACCCATCAATATTTTGGTGACGGTTGATCGTATCTCCCTGGCCGCCCTGGCACAGATCTGAACTGCTGCAGCGCGCAGAACTGCTCAACCGGTGTCCGTCCCCGAGAAACGCGGAAATTCTCCGGACCGGGAGACGGCGACTCGCGACGAATACAAAGCTCCCGTCCGTCTGTTGTCTTATTGAATCGAAATTTATTTATGTTGGTAATCCTGCCAAATGTTTGGCACGTGCCCAGAACGCACAGCACCGCCGTGACCGGTCAGCCGCGCCCAACGAGCCCATCGATGGCGACGGAGCGCGACGACGGCGGCGACGGGAGAGAGGGAGAGGGGGAGGAAGAGAGAGAGAGAAAGAGAGAGAGAGAGAGAGAGAGAGAGAGAGAGAGGGAGGGAGGGAGGCAAGGATAGGGAGCACACGTTTCGTACGGCCGGCCAATCCCGCCAGTCAATTAGCCGCAGCACACCGCCAGAAAACTGATCTCCAGTGCGGGGTCTGAATTGGTCGGATGGTTCACATACCTTCACCCTCGCGGTGGAACAACCAAAACAAAAGTGGTGGCGCACCCTCCTAGCCAGTCAGTCAGGTAGTCATGGCTTTTGTTACCAGTGTAACGATTGTAACTAAGTCGAAGGTGATCACTGCGGAAACGAATTAAAAATCACTTGACTCCAAACCATCCCTAATCTAGGATTTCTTTTCATACCGTTGACGTACCGGGTGGTGACTGGCACAGATCTCCATTGGTGTGACATAAAATACGCAGTTGCGATGCGCAAATTAAGACATGAGCTTGGCTCTAAAAACCAAATCCGTTCGGTAAGCGTGCTTTTGTTAGAACGAGAAGCTTCTTGATTTAAACATTGAAAATTGGCGGATCCAGAAAGGCGGTCTTGGACACTGCGGGGACATAGTCCCAAACGATTTCCTCCAAATTCCAGAAACTCATCGGATTTCTATTCCTTACGCACTGCTGTGCAGTTTACAACGAACTTTTCATGATGAAAATTGTTCCGTTTTCGTTTTTTCGAAAAAACGCAAATTTTCATTTATTTTGGGCGCTACGAGGATATTTGCCCCGAAGCTTCCTCCCCGGATTCGCCAGTCATGACATTGAAAAAAGAAGCTCCTGAATGTTAAGACCGTCACCGTGAAAATAAAAAAGAACGCTTGGAATATTTAATTCAACTCCAGATAAATACTAACATGCGGAGTAAACGTGCATGCACAATGTACGAACTTATTCACATTTGCCAATTAGTTCGTGCAAACCGCTGCGCTGATGCTCCGATAAGTTTGTTTTGTTTGTTTGTCTGCCTGCAGTGGCCTCCCCCCGACGTATGTAATGTAATGTCAGTGCCGGGTGATTAGGAGCAGCGTCCCGCCCCATCAGCGCTGATTTACCTTGCCCGCCATGCGCCTCACGTGTCGGGGGCTGCTCGCCGAGGAGTGAGGACTGAGGAGGCGAGTCGTCGCTCATTTTTCTGCGTCTCTGATTATCCTCCCTAACACCTGCCTTATCCAAGAAAATCCCTTGTGTACATATATCCAGATACAGCTAAGGTATGCTCTCGTAGCAGTCATCTCTGGAAATTGGTGGTTATCAACGGTAAAGATGGCAAGGTGACGGTGTTTAGAAGGCAGACTAAATAAAGCGGACATAAAATGATATTTCTTTAGTAAGTACGTGTAAAGCAAAGCCGATGATAAACGATACCTCAGCGGGCGGTCGCGGACGGTCGCGGTCGGTCGCGGGCGAGCGCGACGGGGCGGTCGCGGGCGGGGCGCGCAGTCGCGTTGGCTCCGGAGGGCCGCGCCGGCCGCGCTGCCGCCTCCGCCGCCGCCGCGCCGGTCTCCAGTGGGTGACGGTGATCTGTCCGTGCGCCGGCGACATGGTGGTGCTCTCGGTGCTGCTCGCGTCGCTCTGCTGCCTGCCAGGTGGGTGCGCGCTCCCGGCTGACCAGCGGGGTCATTTTATGTTTGCTCTGTGGAGCCAGTCTAAGCACTCATTTCTTGTAACTTCTTAGGTCTGACGCTGCCTCAGTTGTCCCTTCGAGTCAGTTAGCCCGTACCCTCAGCTGCCTTGCAGTGCCTCCCCACGTTCTCTCCTGACACGCGGAGGAAGATATCCCTGGCCCTGCCAACTAGCTTAGCTCGCTCTCCGAGGCCGACTGTATTGCAGACGTTTATGCTGTTCTTCTTGTCCGACTGCTGCCGCTCATGCCTTTGGTGAAGACGAGGACGTGCTCTTATCTGGGATTCATCTCGATGAATCATAGGACACTCCCTAAAAAGACAGACCAAGAGTGCGCTGGTGTATCTCGTTGTGGGATCACTTACCCCGCCTTGATGGCACCCACACAAAGAAGAGCTGTTCAACCATCTCCCACCAAGAGAACAGTCCTAATGTTGTTACCGCTATCTCCACTGCAGTCTGCAGCTTACTTCTCGCCGCGCGTCTCTTGCTTATGGTCTGTGTTGCTGTTGGTGCTCTTGTGGGAGATACGGAATCGCTTTGGCAGAGCAGTTTCAAATGTGGCAGACGTATTTATATCCGGTATTGACAAAGTGTCATTTCTAATCTTCCTCAGGTAAATTATTATAATCTGTAGGCATTCGTTTCGGGCTACACTGAAGAAAAAAAATGGTTAAAAACCAAATATTTCGGCTTTATTGAGTTGCCTTGTTCACTGGTTTGAAATATGAAATATGGCTTTGTATCGCATTTTTGTATTTTCATATTTCAGAGATGTAACCATATCTGAAATATGGTTTTGTATCGTATTTGTGTATTTTCATATTTCAAACCATTGAACAAGGCAACATAATAAAGCCGAAATGTTTGGGTTTTAACGGCTATTTTTTTTTCCTCAGTGTAGCCCGAAATACGAATTATAATATTTATATCCGAGAAATCGCAGTGATCAAAACTGCAATAACAGCTGAAGCCGATGCTCTACACATCATTTCCTGACGCCGGATATCCTTTACACACCATCCGCCATACGTGCTCAACACACATCATTATCTCTTGGGTTAGCAGTAATGGCATGAGCGGTGTGCTATGTAGCTTCCGATCAGTGAAGACTACTTGTCAAACGCTAAAGTGGCTGCATTTTTTCGTTTGTTCGGAAGAAGCAAGGTAATGACTGGTTCGGGCCGGGCGGGGCCGCTCCAGCCGGCCTGGCCCGGGTCACACACAGGTGCTCCTGTGGGCTCCTGACTGGAGGGAAATGTAAGTTTGAATATCACTTTTGCTTACTTATTATAGCAAAATGGAATATAAGGCACCAATAACATCATTTCTTAACCCGCGCCCCACTGGTGGGGGGGGGGCTATTCATAGCCCCCCTCCCGTTTTTCTGCAATAACTTCCAAACCACTTGACGTATCGACGCCAAACTTTCAGTACCTTCGGCTGCATCAATTTGACACCTTGTGTGAAAATTTGAATTTCATAGCTACCATAGATCGGCCGAAAATGACGTCAGAGTGACGTCATGTTCGGCCGATTTCGACGCAAACCATTGAACCACGGCAATCGCTCCCAAGAGCTCAGGTTTTAAGCTAGATCCAATTTCTTTGCATGAAAGGACTCAGAATTGACTGCGCTATCAAACTGCAATCTCGGATTTTCATAATTTTGAAAATTTCGAAAATTGTATATAATAATATTCAAAATTTATATTTTTATATTTTTTTCAAAAAGTTTTTGACTTTTCGAAAACACCGGAATATATGTGACAGAACGCATACTAATGACTAACTCTAGCAAGTTTTAGCTAAATATCTTCAAAATTGACCAAGTTATACGCATTATTGCAAAAATTCACAATTATTATTTTTTAAATCCATTTTTCAGTACGTATTTGACATCGTACACCAATATAAATAGCACCATCGTGTTTCTGAGCTCAAACTGCATCCAATAGACACTTTTTTGTTGAAAAATTTAAACTTTAAAATTTGACCTTTTTTGACCTGAAAGTGACCTGACCTAAGCTATATTCGACTCAAAATGACCTCGAATGACACAGACGACATCAAATTCGAAATCTATGGCCTAAATGGACCATAGAACATGTGTCACGTGACCGACGCATGATATAATATTTCCGTGACCTGTGATGACCTGTCCCTGACCTGAAAATCAAAGTACAAGTTTGGTACCCTCAAGGTATCTAGAGCATCTGTTCACGAGTGCGTAAACAAAAAATGAACCTGATCTGTCTTGTAAGACGGCGGCCAGAGCCCAAAATGTGAACAAGCCAAAATGCTAATAATTTGTACTTTGACCTGACCTGTGACGTCATCGGTGACTTCGAGGTCAATGAAATTAAGTTCCGTTCGACAGTTTTTCCGGGGCTATCAGACGCCGTTTGAATTTTGACGATCGGCCCAGTAGTTTCGGAGTTAGGAGGGGGGGGGGGGGGCTATGGAGAGCCCCCCAGTAGGACGTGTTATACGCAGACCCCAGTGGGGCGCGGGTTAAATTAAACTGCATTCGTGATTCTTCGGTCACTGGCTCTGTGGAGCCTGCACAGGATCATGGAATGGTGGGGGCAGATTTTTACACCACTTTCAGCATGTCGCACCTTCAGGCTACTCCACTAGGGCGCAGTAAGTCGGCTCATGTTTCCCGTTACTTGTAATTATCTCATTTACCCTTTAGCAAGTTCTACCTTGCAACGAATTTTTTCCACGAAAGAGCAGTAGCGTAACTTAGGCTCAACCTATTCATTTATGACACTGATGAAAATGTTGCATATTTTCGTTAGATTGAAGAAATAGATAGAAGTACGCCCAAGAAATGATGAGTGATGGCTTAGGTCATATAAGAAATGAAAAACATCGCACTTAGGTCATATAAGAACAAATCGCATCGCTGATGGCGCGGGCTGGGTCGTGCGTGCCACGCCGAGCGATTTTCTTTCGCCAAGATGCGGCGTTGCTGTTAGATCAAATGTGATGTAATGCTATACCTATTGTTTGACAAACGAATATGTTACATGTCACGATCATAATGCAATCTTTAACGTTAATAAATGTTCTAAAAGTTCGACACATTCAAAGGAAAGGAGTCTACTCACCAGTATAACGCCTTTTGGGGCGACTAACGGAGCGAGCGAGAGGGTGGGCCTTGCACGTGCGAAATTGCGAGGGGGTACCTCCAACTGACTTGTGCACGGCACCCTACTAACCGGTCTCTAGCGATGTGCCAAATTTGGGCACAATCGGCCCAGCCGTTCTCGAGATCTGGAAGCGGCACCCTGCACGTGCGCACGTGCAAAATGGGTCCCAACTGACTTGTGCACGGCACCCTACTAACCGGTCCCTAACCGTGTACCAAATTTGAGCGCAATCGGTCGAGCCGTTCTCGAGATCTGGAAACGACCCCTGCACGTGCGCACGTGCAGCAGTGCCCCAACTCTGGCACATGGATATGCAGTGCCTAGTGGATGCCTACCTACATGCCAACTTTCAGCGCAATCGGCCAAGTAGTTACCGAGATATTGCAACAATTACAAAACGGACACCTCTTCGTTTTGCACGTGGCACGTGCATAAGGGGTCACCTACATGCATCAGGAATAGTCCAATACTTGGTAGAAGGAATGAAACTACCCTACAAAAATTACCGCGTGTAAATCGGTCAAGTGGTTGCTGAGATATAAGCCTCGCAAAAGCGTGACCACGGCCGCTCATACTCAGAAATTTCCGTTAATCCACGGAATATATAGTCTACATATATAGTATATAGTATATAGTATATATAGTATATATAGTATATATAGTCTGTCGTAGACTATATATTCCGTGGTTAATCTAAGGAAAGACTACGCTCGCTTCGCTCGCTCCGTAATTATGTTGTCGAGCCGACAGAATTGCGGCATACAGCTGGTGTACCTACTTGGGAATAATTGTGGCTATTTGCTACCGCATCTTTATTTATCACGAAAAGTCATCACTTCGCTTCAAATTTGCCGACATTTAATACCTCTGAACGACCCTTACCAGTCTTCATTAGTTAGTGCTACAGCCTACACGCTTTAAACCAAGCCAGGTTTTGCCATCAAGCAACCTTTTCCGCGAAGGTGAGCCGGAGGACAGCCATTCCAGTGCCCAGCGGACCCTCATACTCTCTCGTCCATTACCGTTGGGGGCATGCGCACTGAGGGTCCCATTTTCACGCACACGTGGAGCCACTGCACCAAGTCGGCTCGGATGGCTGTAATTAACTAATTACAGTCATATTGATACTGTAATCCCACGACAGCCGGGGTCAATACGCTGACAAACGACGGGCACGAGCTTAGCGCCGACGTCAAACCGCGGCCTGAGGGACGACTGCGGTCAGCGGTTCACTCGAACCTCAGGCTAGGGACAGCTGCGGACAACTTCCTCAGCGGTGAGCCCTGCCGGTTCGCTGAGAACCCCGGTCCCATGAACGGCTGCAGTACGACCCCATCATTTCCCTAGCCCCGTGAACACATACTGGTTCACAACGAATCTCAGGAAAGCTGCAGTCTAAAGACCCTTTGTCCTCATGGATCCCCTACGCCTCCGCTGATTCACAGCGAGCTCCGACCCGCAGGGCAGCTGATGCGTCCTTCTACGAGTACTCCACATCCCTGCCTCTTCACGCCCAACCCAGTTCCATCCTACCAGACTACGGGTCTCTCTGCGGCGCACCCACCCCCGCTCAGTCCTGCACGGTCGCCGTGCTTCCATTACGGCCCCCATCCGGCGCGATTGGTTACGAGCGGCTATAGAGGCGGCACGACAAAGCGTTGCATGCCTGAGAGGCATATGTAGCGCCGCCGAAGACAACTGCTAATGCGGCGGTGTTGCCGACGCGGCGACAGGCGACAGCCGGTCTGAAGACTGTACGGTGACCACGGCGGTGTCCTGCGTGACCGCGGTACGGCGGTGCCATCG